CCCCCACCTGAACTCTAGGAGGGATCCACTATATATGAGTATTCTGTGAGGGGGGTTAAAATATCTACAAGGAGAGTTAAAAACTTTTTTCAACCTCCTGAGACAAAAAAGGCAAAAAATATGTTACACACGTGAAAAATAATTCACTAGAAAAATTTTCAAATTCTCAAAAAAATGTCCATTTTGTCAAATATAGCGCTTTGCGCACTAGTCGATTTGAAAGAAGTTAAAAATGTCCTGCAAGCCTTAATTAAAAAATCTACAAAATTCGTTTTGATTCCGCTGAATAAAGTACAGAGAGTAGGTGCTTGTATGTTTAAACATGTTTTGATTCAGCTGAATAAAGTACAGAGAGTAGGTGCTTGTATGTTTAAACATGGTGAAAAGTATTACTAGTAGTAGTTATCTGTTAAATATCATAACAAATATAATGTAAAATGAAAAAAGGCAATCTTGAGCCAGGGACTGATAATCCAGGAAACTTGATCCAGTGTCTCACTCTTACAACAAAACTTGACAATCATATAAAACAGTACAAATAGGATTCAGTTCATATTGATGCGGATCCGCGCTGGAAAAAAGGGATCCGGATCCAGGTCATTAACACTTATTTACAGGGGCGGATACAGGATTTAAGTGAGGGGGGGGGGGGCAAGATTTTTTAAGGAACCAAAAAATTCATAATTAGGAACCAAAAATCGCGGCAAAGGCGAAAATTTTGTTTGACTTAAAAGACTCAAAAAGAGTCAAAATTAATGACAAAAGACTAAAAACTAGATTTTTAACTTTTCACACATTATAGTTTATTAAGACAGATATTTTTCCTATTTTGCACTAGGGTTTCTTTCCCTTAAGCATGCTATTGAGAAGCTATTCTGAAAATAGGACCAAAAAATTGCAAATTCAGGGGGGGGCGAAAGTCCCCCCCCCTGTATCCGCCCCCGCAAGATTTACTGATTACGGATAGGTTTACACCTACAGATATATCAGAAGGATTAAATTATCAGCTATCAAGAGATATTGTGTTGTGGTTATAGAGTATAAAACATTAAAAATTAATATACAACATAAACTATTAAAATTGTTTTAAAGTATACCATCCACTATTGGTACCTTACATGGTTTTAAAAATCCATGATGAACTTCTAAAATTTCTAAAATAAATTTTTATGAAAGTTTATTAAATGGAAATATTGTTTTTTTAAATATAGTTTTAAATCTGAAATTTTAAGAAAAAAACAATTTTTTATGGAAAATGTGTGCAGTATAAAAAGAAAATATAATATACTTTCTTTTTGAAAATGTAGAAAATCCCTACTAAATAATCGCCTCCAGTTTTTAATTCACGTTTATGTATGTATTAGAAATTCACAACCTATAAAAACCTCTCAAAAAAACCCTTCAAAAGAGGAGTTTTCAATATTGGGTGAAAATTAATTTAACTTAAAATATATTTTAACCGAATTATTTTTTCAATAAATACTTTTTTACTCTACAGAGGTTTGGTCCATCACCATCACCGAATTTTAAAATTAATTTTACTTGAGTTTGACTATAAATTAACAAATAACAAAGCAATGTTTGTTGTTTCAACAAGAAAAATATACTAATCTGAAAGTTTGTGGTTGACATCAACGTCTATAATATGTTTTTAACGTTAACAATGCTAAGCTTTCTATACTATTCACAGTGTTGTATGCACCGTATTAGCTGAAAATATACTACAGTCCTCCTTTTTGTACTTTTGTTACGCACAAATATCGGGGAGGCCATACTGAGAAAAGCTGTGCGTGAGTCACGCCAATCGATTTTTGGCGCAATTTTGGAGTATTTGGAGCGTACGTACATTATAAATTCTACAGAATTTGCAAAATATCCCCCCTTTTCTCCAATATTCAGACTAAGCGCGAGTAGCCCAGATCTCCACAAACTAGAACAAACCAGAACAAACCAACACCCCTTTTCATATTTAACCTCCCACGCCACTTTTATAGCAATTTTTTAGAATAATACACTGCAGTGTTACGTACAATGTACATCGTACAATATGTCAGAGAAAGAATGATCGATTATATGCCTAATTTAAGAAAGCTGTGGACCGCTTTGAACCGGGGGACTGCACAATAAGCCTATAATTATTCCATTAATTTCAATATTTGTTTTACACATTTAATATTCTTTAGAGAAGAATGTTATTAAACATTTTTGTCAAAAATCGTTTAAACCATAATAATAAATGTTTCCACAGCAGTGGCGTACACAGGGGAGGGGGCAGTAGTCCTCTTGCCCCCCCCCCTGGGAGTTCCAAATACAAAATTAAAAGGAAACAAAAGTAACACCTGACAATGACAAAGACTAAGGATTTGTCTAAATTCGCTGTTAACACCAAATTTTAAGATACTTTAAACTAAAACTTTTCCAAAAACGAGACCTCGACATATTAGATGCTTATATCATGATGGAAGATGTAATAAAGGTATTCTTTATCTATTTTTCTATTTTTTTTTACAGTCAATTAATAAAGGAATTGAGTCTTTGGCACAAACTCAAATATTTAAACCTTTGGAACCTGATGTTGTAAACCTTTGATATTTTAAATTCAGAATATTTGATCTAACAGAATTCATAGTTTGAAATATCTATGGTCTACAACATTTGGTTCCAAAGATATATAAAAATCAGATTTTGTGGCAAAGACTCAATTCCTTTATTTCCATAAAGAGATATTAAGCGCAATTTCAAGTTCCACTTTATGCAATGATGAGAATAACATCAAATGAAGGATAGAGAAGTTTTAGCCTTCTAAAGAGAATACTTCATTGCACAAGATGTACTATGACGGAGAGCAGACTTAACGAAAATCATTAAATTGTTTGTGCAAGCAAATCCCAGAAAATTGAAGCTTAAAAGAGTTGGTGAATATGTAGATTCAGTAAATTCTATCTAAAAATTTCAGAAGAAATTTCGTTTATTAGTGTATAATTTTTAATGATGCTGTGATTATATGATTTAGTTAGCTGTGATGGAGTTAAGTGATAAATTTATAAAGTTAAAAAGTTAAAGTTAGTTTTTCGAGCAAAGGAATAATTTTTAGACTCTATAAGGTTAGTAACACCCAAAATTGTAGTCTTTTTGGTGTATTTTTATGGTGTTAATTGATTTTTTGAACAAAACGATTCCAGGGGGGGGGGGCAAAAAACAGCCCCCCCTGGCTAAAATCCTGTGTACGCGCCTGTTCCACAGTGTGCATGCAACGAAACGGGAACTTTTTTGAAAAGCTTAAAAATTGACCATGTCAAAAAATTTGACAAACATAATAAATAATATCTAAAATTACAACAACAAAAAACGGGCCATTTAAGAATATTTTTTATCTAAATATAAATTTGGCTTGTCTGTCTGTTTGTGTCCAATAAACGTCAAAACGGCTGAACCGATTGGGCCCAAATTTTTTGTGGGACATCACGTGACCACAGTGAAGGTTTATGAATGATAAAAATTTTTAAAAAATGTGTTTTAAAGGTTTTTAATTTTGTAAAAAAAAAATTCTTGAAAATCCGCGAATTTTTTTAAAAATCCGCAAAATTTTTTTCTTCTTTGTTTTAAAATGTAAAGAAAAAGCCTAGTATGTTAAATATTAATATTTAAGCAATAGTTTAACTCTACTCACCCTACTCTAACACCCTAAAATTTGCCGCACATTCTGGAGGTGTTTTTGCAGGTAAATAAAATTATTATAATTTCATGGTTAAGCCCTTTCAATATCTTTGATAAACAAAAAAGTATTAAAAAACATCTAATAGTAAAGAATTGAAATTCCGAATTCCAGGCAGAAAACCTTGCTCTGACGAAGGTTTAAACGGGATTATTGTTCATTTAACTCTTTTAACAGGTGAAACCCTGGGTACCCACTGCCCGTGCTGAACCCCTAAAAGAAAACCCTGTAAGATGATCTAGAGCAATGAAAATGAAACCTCTGCAAGAAACCCTGGTTCAACAAAGAATTAAATAAAGATAATCCCAGGGTATAGGTTTAGTTTGGAGACCGGGTAATTCAGAGGATTAGTTTAGAGACAGGGAGATTAAGAAAATATAATGTTTAGTTTAGATACAGGGAGATTCAGAGAATATGAGATCTAGTTCAGAAATTTCAAGTGGCCCTCCATGAAAAGTCTGCAATGCCCGATCTTAAAAGCGTTATCTGATCAATTAGATATCCATGTTTTTGTTTCTTTAAACTGTTGCGGTTTCTCTGGGAAAATGACTTGCGTATTTCTTTTTTTAAGCAATGGAGAAAAAGCAGAATTAAAACAA